TCATCATGAAAAGAAAAAAAATTGTAAAAGGGAAAAGGCAAGAGCTGAGGTCAGGCTGAGCTAGTTGCTGCCAGAGTCACCGTGGATGACTCTGCTTAACTGTTTAAAAAAGCTTCTAAAAAAGCACCCTCTGCAGGAGGAGGCAAGAGAATGACGTGCCTCATCTACGTCAGGAATTATTCGGCTTTTAACTCTTGCTTAACTCTGCTTGAGTGATCATAAAATGCCAGACTAGATGAGGCATGTTGTTCTCCTGCCACCTCCTGTAGAGGGCACTTTTTAAAGGCTTTTTTAAAACAGTTAAGCAGAGTCATCCACGGTGACTCTGGCAGCAACTAGCTCAGCCTGACCTCAGCTCTTGCCTTTTCCCTTTTACATTTTTTTTCTTTTCATGATGACAATGGTGAGGCTCTGCCTCCCCTGCCTCCCCTGACTGCACGTCCCTGAATAACAATTAGTCTTTGGTCATCTGTTCTTCTATATTGTCATTAATTCATGGAGGTAGAGTTAATAAATCATGGCATTGTGATGCAAAATTTACACCAACCTTTAGACCAAACTGTTGTAATGTCATTTAAGTAAAGTCAAGTTTCCAGAAAAATATTTATAATTTCACAATAGAGAGGGGTGCACAAGTAAAATCCAGTAGAAAAAATATCTGATTTTTATCAAATAGGATTTGACAAACCAAGTTATTTCGTTTGAGAACAAATGCTGGCTACAATGTAGACCTTTCATTAAGATTTCATTTTTACATATACAGTATTGTATGTACACAAGTCACTGATTATAATAAATTATTAGTAGTAATATTTTAATGATTTGATAATCATATAAATTATTTGATGATAAAATCATTAATGATTTGGAGGAAAAGGAAAGGAATGGCTGTCAAGTGATAGGTAATATTATTAGAAAAACATCAGTTGATTGAATGTAATAAATATGATTAACTTTATCAGTTTTACTTGTATTAGAATGTATGATACCCAGGTACCACACTGTTCATGCATTGATTTGATATATTTGTAAAAAAAAAAAACGGAAATAAAAAAATAGCTGATATCTATAGCTGATAGATAGCTGATAGCTGATATCACAGCTATCAAATAGCTGATAGCTGATATCACAGATATTAGATTGAGTGTCTAAATGTATAACTCAGAACCAGATATAAAATTCAAAACACATCTTGATGGTTTACAAACATGGGCTGAAAAAAATGGAATAAAATTTAAGAGAGACAGAATTATTGCGACAATAATCTCAAAATAATAGCTGGCTACAAACCAAATGTAATATGGCAGGGTGATACTCATGGAAAGAAGGCAAATAAGAATCTCAGGAAGTGAATATTCTGTTTTGGGGAGAACGCAACACAAGTACTGGATTACTTTGCAGGCATCATGCTTGAAGAAGACATTACAGACAATCTGGATCAGATTTAAGGAAGGATAAAGAAACCAAGGAAGAGGTCAAAGGAACTGTTCTTAGCCTCGAGGGAAGACAAGGAGAAGAACCATGTTGATCAGTGGAAGCTGAAAATCAGGTGTCTGGGAGCAGATTTTCCAACTAACAGAATCTTTTGGTTGGAGAAGGGTGGATACAGCACTCTTCCAATCACTGAAAGATGTTATAAAGGTAAAAGGTTCCCTTCACACATATGTCCTAGTCATTCCCGACTCTAGGGGGTGGTGCTCATCTCCATTTCAAAGCCAAAGAGCCAGTGCTGTCTGAAGATGTCTCTGTGGTCATGTGGCTGGCATGACTAAATGCAGAAGGCAAAGAGAATGCTGTTCCCTTCCCGCCAAAGGCGGTCCCTATTTTTTCTACTTGCATTTTTTATGTGCTTTCGAACTGCTAGGTTGGCAGAAGCTGGGACAAGTAACAGGAGCTCACTCCGTTACATGGCAATAGGGATTCGAACTGTCGAACTGCCAACTTTTCTGATCGACAAGTTCAGCATCTTAGCCACTGAGCCACCTATAAAATATGTTATAGAGAAGCTTGGTCATTAGAAAGGAAGTACTGGCTGAATGAGAGCAGAGACACCCTGAAAGGAGAAGCAGAGGAGCCCCTGAACCAGAGAAGTTCAATCTCCCTTCATTGACCAAACAGCTATCAGTCAGAGATGTTTAAAGTTCGATTCCTGCAGAGAGGAAGGGTTGAGATAGATGCTTTCAGGGTCTCCTTCAACATTCTACAATGCTAATCACAAACCCATGGGTATAGGAATTTATTCAAAAATGCAAACATCTGTTTTACAACCAGCAGTTTTTTTATATCAAAATATATCTGGGTACCTCTGAAGATGTTACCTACTTTGGGTAATGAAACATCTGCAAGAGTAAGAGCTCACAGAGTAGCAAGCCCCCCCCCCCATATCATCTCGGAGCTGCAAATATTCTCTACAAATATTGATACAAAATGTATCTCTCCAAGGGGCCCACTCCTTGGAACATTATGCCCAGAGCAATTTTAAGGGAAGGGAAGGGAAGGGAAGGGAAGGGAAG